ATGCAGGAAATGGGTGGAGCTTTGTGTGACAACTAATCATGGGGAAAATGAAGGATGCTGGCCAGAATGTTCAGATCTGTCTGCTGCCTAACAAATCACAGCTTGCAAATAGCCTTTGGAAGCTCTGGGTAGGACATACGATGTGATGGGTGTATTGTTGAGTGTATAGGAGTGCATGGTGGAGTGTGTTTTATATATTAGGGCGAATAGTGGGGTGTCCTTTGTATATTAGGTGAATAGTTGGGTGTCTTCTTTTTACACTGAGCATTACACAGCATACTGCAGATTGTTCCATTCTGTACACTGTACAGTACATTACATACTCCACACTGCTCCATTCTGTACACTGTACAGTACATTACATACTCCACACTGCTCCATTCTGTACAATGTTCAGTACATTACGTACATTACTTTCAAATTAACATGCAGGGCTGGTTCTAGAGTATTTTGCGCCCTAGGCAAGACCAGCCCCATTCTCCTGCCAGATAGCTTCCGCATGCAACAGGTAGATTAATTTTTATTTAAAATAGAGGATAGCAAACTGTTGCCTCTCAGTTTCGCTCCTCTTCTTAGTGGGCAGGTGCAATAGCCAGCCTGCTATATGCTTTTGCAATATGAAATAGATGGGAGGGGGCACGCTGTGGGGGGGCATGAGTGTTTGAGGCTACGCCCTGGGCAGTAGTGCACCCTAGGCTGCTGCCTAGTTTGCCTAGTGGTAGCATCGGCCCTGGTAACATGAGAAATGTTCTTTATATACAGCAAGAGCACTTTCTAGCAGAGGGTTGTTGTGTTGGATGTTCAATGCTGTGTGCCTGCCAGTGATAGAAATCCATCCCCATGCATAGCCCAATACAAGCAGCACCATATTATTACCACGTGTACAAGCTTCAGGTAAATCATTCATTGCTAACCTTCTGCTGAAAATACCAGCTGCCTGGCTGTCTCAGACCCCCAAATAAGTGCACAGCCTGTGAAGTCACAACTTCTAATTTGTAAGCTTGTCTCAGGTCAGTGTCTCTGACAGTGAGGCCTGTGGAACAGCATAACCTGCCAGGCTTTTTCAGAAGAAGTCAGCAGTGGTTTCTTGAATAATTTGCTCATGGCAGGTTGCCGTTTAAAAATGGAGCTGATGTCATAGACCTTGGAGGATACACGCATCCTGTTACCCATAGAAACCAGCTAGGGTTTAATTGTTCACATATAACAAGCAATTTGGTCATCTTGAGCACTAATTCTACTTTTGCTTTTATATGTATAATCTCATCTCTGACTCAATGGTGTCTTGTGAATACCTTTTATAATATTGTATTATGCACAGACAGATTCATATTTCACTTTTCTGTTCTCGGTAAAATGTCTTTATCTGTTGTGTACTGTGAAAAGATACACTGTACATTATAAAAGCTCAGATTCTGGAAATAGTCATTCTACTTTGAGTACGTTTCTTTGTAATACATTCAGTATAAATAGATGACAATGTTCTACTTCATAATTGTGTTGTTGCCTCCTGTACCTTCTCTCTGGCATAGATTTGCCCACTTTTCCCCTTTTGTCTATAAAACAATCTAATTATCTGTTAGGAGTTTGAGATGATTTATTTATAAACTACAGTCATGTGCTTTCCCCAAATTTTGATTGCATGTAGCATGGCTTGTTTGTTAGCTGTTGCTATAGGTGTGCACACTTGACAGTTACTGTAGAAATGCATTGTAGTACAGATGCGGTGTGTTCCAGAGCGGCAGCTGCTGGAACGCACAGCAATCGCTCACAAATCTTCCCCCTTCGTTCTGGGGTGGGAGGGGGTGTAGCACTGCATTGAAGTCAATGGCATGACAGCCATGCCCCCTGCCCGCAGTGCGATCAGACGCATGGCAAAACATTGCCAGTGTTCCGGTCCACGGTGAACGCAAAAGATAGAGCATGCAGCATTTTTTGCGTTTGCAGTGGACCGGAATGCAGACAATGTTTTGCCACACATCCGATCGCACTGCGGGTGGGGCTATTAACTTCAATGCACCGCCACGCCCCCTCTCACCCCAGAACGAAGGGTTATGTGGGTGATTGCTATGCGTTCCAGCAGCTGCTGCTCTGGAACGCACCACAATTGGTGTGAATGGGCCCTTTGAAGCCTGGCGTTTAGTTATGAGATACTGACCTGGAACAAGAATGCAGAGAGAATTATCGCAGACTTCCTACACACTTTTCCTGGCATAGTGATTCAGAAAGAGAAGGTTCCATATTTCATGTATTAGAGGTTAACTTTAGAGAAAATTGTTATTAACCTTTACAGTGGGGCTATCCCCGCACTGCAAGGGTTAAGTGCTCGTTTTGGTCTAGGAAGGAAAATAAAGTTATACTTACCTCCTCCTCTGGCTTGCTCTCAGACCGGTCCCTTCAGCTTTGCTCCCCATCTGTGAGTCATCACATCCTATACACAGTGTATAAAACACAAGGACACCAAGGGACATACCATCGCTGGAATGGAGGAGACAGGCAGAAGGGAGTTCTGTAAGTGCTCCGAGATTCGGGTGAGTATACCTTTGTTTTTTTTCCTCCTTAAACCAAAAATGAGCATTTCCTTAAAGTAAACTTCTAATAAAGGAAATATGGAACTGCCTCTTTCTGAATCACTATCCTAGGAAAAGTCTTAGATAATTCTCTCTGCATTCTTGTTTCAGGTCAGTATCTTTTAATTGAACTCCAGGCTTTAAGTCCCACAATTTAAGTCCCACAATGCATTTCTACAGCAGCTGTCAAATATGCACAACTATTTAATATAATACAAATATAAACAAATATTGTCTAAATCTGAGATACTAATCTGAGCATACTTATTGAATCTTGGTTTCCTTCATGTACTTCTTTACATCTGTGCAATAATCCATTGTAAAACATTGCCACTGTGTAGGAGCTTTCTGTAACATAGACCAATCACTGCTGCTCTCTCTCTCCTACAGGGTGACTGGTCTTGTATCCGCCCCCTTCTGTAGCTTTTTGAAGGCAGCCTGTAGTGGGTGGGGCCTGTTGGGTCCCTCCCACAGCTTTGCTCTGCGTACGCTATGTATAGCTCGGCGAGGATGTCACTGTTACCCTTATTTACTGTACGTTGTGAAGTATATTTTAGGTACTATCTGGGTTTGCAAAGGCATTAGGTACAGACAAAGTGTATTTATTTGCTTTGTGACTGAAGAATATATTTAAAGCCCAACTCCAGGAAAATTAAATGTTTTACCTTATGACCCTGCACTAGAAGGTTTAACTGTTATTCTATGTTCAGGGGAAAGGGAAAAGCTGTTTTCCTGTCCCCCGGCTATATACGAACAGTTAACCCTTGCAGTGTAGGGGCAGCATTAAGGTAAAGCTTTTCCCCACTACAAGGAAAGACTTCTCAAGTTGGGCTTTAAGTATAATTTTATTATGGCCAGACTTTAAATTATTCAAGCAAGAATGTCAGCCTAACGGCCAGGAAAAAATGCCTTTTTAAAAGGAGCGGTCAGCAATGGCAGCCTCCATGTTTCTCTCATGACAAGTTGTCTTTAGGACGCACAGGCACAGGCTTTAGTTCGTATACAGCAGTTTGCAAGGCATTTGCAAGGCTTTCAACAAGCTTTTAACAGTTTCAAGTCTTTAATGCACCCTTCTAATATAATCTGTGTTTAATAAACCCAAACTGGAGCGGAAGTGCTGGCTGCCACTTTTAACAAGCTTCTGGCAGGCATGGTCATTTCCTATTTTTATTAAGAGGATACTCACATAAACGGAGCTATGGCATGTGTTACGTCCAGTGCTGTCCATGGTGCTGAAGGCACCGCAGGCACTTAAAGTGTACCTTCAGCCCCTTTTACTGAAAATCACATCAGCATGCAGCTCTGCACGTTGATTTTAAATCATCTTCCATTCATTAGTTAAACAAACTTGTTTTTCATTTACTTACAAATAGAGTTTATCTATTTCCTGGTCCAGTTCTGGGACAAATGACGTAAGTGTCAAACCGTTGCATGTTGGGAAGGTTACATCAGCAGAGCATTGCTGTGAAATCTCCACTGTAATCTCATGAGATATCAGAGAAAGATGTGCATGGTCACATGTCCTAGTCACATGTGCCAGATGTCAAGGCACATCTGGCACATCTGGCAGAGTAAATGAAGATCTAGTAATCTGCCCTTAGTAAACATGGCCACTGCCAGAAGACTGGGGAAGGAAAGTGAAATAAGGCATGCAAAGAATACAGCGCTGGCAATTATCTAGAAGTATCTGTTTGTAGATTGTCATACTAAACATTTCAAAAGGTGTGTTTGTTTTTATTTTAAAGATATAGGTAAAGGTCTGCTTTAAGCATATAATGTACTTTCAATTCCATTAACTCCATGCCAGTCCATTCTGCCATTGGCAGCAAAGTCCTTTGTAAAAGCTACAGGTTGCTAGAGCCATAGCATAGGCACGCTCCCAATGTGACAGTGATGATTATTAACATAGAATGTGCCTCCTTCTCCTCCATACTCAAAGGTATCGGGTATTATCTCCGGTTCCCAGTGCTTAACTGAGACAGTATATGTGAGGGGTGCTGGGAGGTTAAAGCAAACTTGTTTCTTTGGCCTGAATAGGCAGAGCACAGGTTTGCTTTAAGTCAATGTCACTTTCTTCTGGTGCTAACAGGTGAAAAGCTAAAACAATCTTAACACCCATAATTCGTTTTTTCACCTAGCAATGAAGCTTCTTCCATCAACTTTTTCTTTGAAAAATCCAGGTGTTAAAACACCGAAAACTTCTCTCTCCTTGATAAAGAGCTATATGATGTCACAGCTTCATGCATCAGGACCCGCAAGGGAAAAGAGAAAAGGAATTTTACAAAACATTGGAGAAACTATAGGGATTAAATGGCTGAAAAATGAAGTTTTCCTTTAATGGTTGCTAGCAAATGAACTTAACATGAAAACAAGTGTCTGTATTACATTAAACCAACATTTACACTATTGTTCTCCTTTTTTCCTTCTCAGCTCCTTCACTAATTGGCATGGTGAGAAAAGACTGGGCATCTCAAAGCAGCATTGCTCTCTCGTGGCAAGAGCCAGACTATCCTAATGGGGTCATTCTGGACTACGAGATCAAATACTATGAGAAAGTAGGTCTTGCTCAGCATTCCTGGAAAAACGCTTAAGATGCAAGTAGTGCTTTCTTTCTGACTATGTTATAAAATGTTATTCTTTCTGTGCCTTATTTTCTCATTCAGTATTTTATTAAAGGTAAAAATGACAATTTGTTCCAAGCTGCTGTATTTGTATGTATGTACAGCAAAATGCTTTACACATTCATATTGCAATCTTTCTGTCTTTTTTATGAATATTAACTAGAAATCCTTTCTTTAAAGGGCACCTGTCATTTTTAACATCAGCGTCAAGTTAGCACATAAGTACGAATGATGGTTGGACCTTTTATCCATAAGTGCTAGACCAAGCACTTGCCTTATACTGTTTGTACAGAAGGGCGAAATGTCCACTCGCACTGCAGCGTGACAGGGAACATGACAGCATTTTGGAAAAAGCATGTTGGGCTTACAATGCAATTTTTCGACAATGTAAAATGAAGGGAACAATAAAAGAACTAGACAGCAAAGGATATATAAATAACTAGCAATCATGAGAAGCCTATTAGTTTGCCACCCTAAAAAATGAACTGAACCTTTGGATTCGAGATTGTGGCTGATTTACTAATTTGTAGTCCAATTCAATAGCCAGCAAATATCCAATTAACTGGTTGATCTGTAAGTTGCCACACATGCACTCAGGGGAACCAGTAAAGGGGTCTTTCTGGCCCCATTACCGTTCCACTAGCTCAGTAATAATAAAAAACAACACATGCAATGAATATAAATGTTGGATTTGAAAACAACCTCACTTCCTGCCCTCTTCTGTATAAAAAAGGGTAAAATTCCAAAGGGTTCTTTTTCCTTTCCTGGATTTGTTGATTTGTAAGAAGTCCCGTCAAATGTAAAATGTTAGGGAGCATAGTGCCGCCACTGGTATTCTGGAACTTTCTGCTGCAGAATGACTGAATTTCACTGAGAATAATAGTAGTAACTGGATTCCCATAGTTCCCATGCAGCCATTTTTTATTTTGTTTCGGATATGTAATAGAAAGTGCTGTGGTATGTTACACATAATCCTTCCAAAGTCCATACCATTCTCAGGGCTCAGGGTGGTGGCTTGTCAGCACTGGCTGATGTTTGCAAAAAGAGGTTTACCCCACCCCCTGGCCCTGCAGAGCATACACACAACCCTCAAGTCATTCGGTGCCAGCCTATATACTTTGTTGGTATTGTAAAGATAAGTGATGATATTATCTCGTGGCAAAAACATGATTAAAAATCATATTCAATATATGATTACTTTATGTATTCAGGTTTCACAGAAAAATAAAGTCAATATATACGCATGCATTTCAGTTTGATATGTCTGTTAATAAACACCACCAGAACATCTATCATCATCTATCTACACAGAATCTGTGTGGGCATGATGGATAGATAGATAGATAGATAGATAGATAGATAGATAGATAGATAGATAGATAGATAGATAGCAAATTAGAAATGTGTAGGAACAGGTTACCTAGAATTTAGTTCTTCATCTACAGTGTGATGAATGTATGTACAATACATGTATAGTATATGTGTATTGCATTTCTCTGCTATATGTACTGTAAACCCTGGTTTGTGTTCAAGCTATAAAAGTGTTTGTGTCCTGGAAATTTCACTAAACAGAGGTAAAAACACAAAGGATTAAGTAATAACAGAATGAACACAGCAGTATTCTAAAATGGCTGAGCTAGCTGTATATTCAGCTTCCCAACAAATGTTATAATTCATTTTACAGTTGCAACAGTTTGCCACTTAATCTCCCCTAGGAGTAAATTCTGTTCTGCTTTATTTATATTTTATTTGTAAAGGATAGCACAAGAGAATCAAGTTATATATACATTTAGGTATGTTTGTGAGTGTATATATATATATATATATATATA